GCTGCTTGTCATACCACAGGAAGTTAGACTGTAGCAGCCAAAAACTAAAGTGTGAAATGTGCAAGAGCGTGGCTAAATTAAACTCATTTCCTGTGTTCTTTCTTCTAGACAAGATATGCTGAACTTTCTAGTTTGTGCACCATGACCTCAAAAAGCAATTAATTCAAGGCAGTTACAGCCGTCTCGTGAATCACTGCCTAAACATCTGTGTGTCACCTGCATGTGTGGAACCAGCTGACAGAGGCAGAGCAGCAGGCTGTCAGACACCGCTGAGGTCTTCTCCTCGGTCTGGGAGGGTGACGCGGCTCCTGGCTGCACGGGAAGCAGCACCCTGAGGAGGCTGTGTCGGAGGAGGGCGTGCTGGGGTTGCCTCTGAGGTTCACAGTACAGGTACCGCAGGAAGGGACCCAGCATGGCGATGTAAGCTGCTTTATTTCTGCAGTGCAAATACACATCGTGGGGTAATAAGAAACTATATTTTCAAAATGCAATTCTTTTTTCAACACTCAACCACATGTGAAACCTTGTAAACCAAAATGCCACATGGTAAGTATCTGTATGTATTTGCCATTCGTGCTCGGTAGCAGCCGAGGGTGATGTGATGAGTTGGACTGCGGAGCTCGTCACAGAAAAAAATTATGCAGTAAAGAAGTGAGTGATTGGATGGTGGGTTCAAGGCCTCTGCTGTGGCCATGCTTGCCTGTCAGCAGCCTGCCGAATGAAGTCATCAATCTCCAGCAGCAGAGCTGGCCAGCAGTCCGCTCGGTTCTCCAGGGCGGTGATGTATGGGTGCGGGCTGCTCCTGTGAAACAATGGAAAGGTCATGTTCACATCACAGATGCAGTATACCACTTTCTGATTTGAATTCTGGCCCCCACAGCTCCCTGATCTCATCATTATGGAAGAGCTGTGGCAGGTTCTCCAAGGTGGTTCGAGCAACCAAGCTGCCAAACACCTTGAAAAACTACAAGTGCAAATTATTAACAGTTGATAATTAAACATTTTTAAAGCGTCTCCACTGTACTTTTCACAGGACTTTATATCATCACATTTCCAAATAGAGCTGCGATGAGTCTAAAACTCAATCCAGAGTCATTTATGTTGCTTGCAGACTCAGATCAAAAATGCTCTGGAGACTTGTGCTGCAGTTCATTTTCCCACTTTCTAAGCTTGGGTGCTTGGACACTTTTTTCAGATCTCAACCTAGTGTTTTCCTTCCAGGTCCCTCAATACCAATTATTTCAGTAAGTCTTTTAAAAGAATGGTCCATTTACTGCCTGTTTGAAACTAGCTGGTGTGTGGTCTCAATTTTGAGGGGAAAACTAATCTGCATTTACATCGGCTCAGTCTTTGTTATATTATGTACTATAGTACAGTAGAGAAAATGCTTTTACGATATGAAGGCTTTCCTTGCATGAAGTGGTGTGAACATTTTCAGGATCATCTCCGTAGTCGGCCACTTCAGTGTAAGATCCAACAGCTTCAACAGTGACATCTCAAACTCCAAGTGCATCAAAATATAGAGATAATGTATAGAATAGTATTTACTGTGAGCAAAGATCTTACTTTTGGAGAAATGTCTTCTGGTGTGATTAAATAAAAATGGAACTGTGTGGCCAAAATGAAAGCCTCACTTTTTCCAGAGGAAAAAAAAAGTGAGGCTTGCAAGCTGTAGAATACCATCCCAACCATGAAGCACGGTGGTGGCAGCATCATGTTGTGGGGGGAATTGCTGCAAGAAGGACTGGTGCACTTCACCAAACAGGTCCAACAGCTTCAACGGTGATATCAAATCCCAAGTGCACCAAAATATAGAAATAATATATAGAATAGTATTTACTGGATGTAACTCCAGTTCTATGAGCACACAGGAAAAAGGTCAATGTAGATGTATTATGTTGCCTATATTGTGAATTTTAGGTTGTTGATGGCGATGAAAGGAAAAGACAGCTACTTGGACATCAAAAAGGCCAAAAAAATGGTCTTTGTTATCCTGTCTAAGTTTAACCAAACAGCATCTGCCTTTCCTGAGTTTAACGAATCGACACTATGAGCTTTTCAGAGCTGCTCAGAACTACCTACAGCTGGAGTAGGAACTTCTTTCTTCCTCCAAAAACAGTCCTGAAAAGGTTCTACTGGGGCAGTTCTTGCGTTCAGAACACACCCAAAGGTTTAGGCCTCCCTAAAACCATGGATTGCAAGATTGTTCTTCAGGGGGAAAAAAAGAGTGCACTTTATCAACAGATTAGTAGCCCAACCCGAAAAACATGAAGAATGATATCAGACGCAGCAATCCACTGCTGGATGCCATGTGGTGCATCATAGTTGGAAATCTTATGGCATCATGACAAAAGACAGGTTCCTTCTCTACCGTCTCTTGTGTCATTTGAAAACTTCGACAACAGGTAAAACAGATAAAAAAGAAAAAAACGTTTTGCTAAAGGAGCGCAAACATGTAGTCTGTCTTGTTTCTCGGCTAAGACGGGGTTAGAATTTATGACACTATAATCGCCAAATCTGAGATAGCGACCATCTAATTAGACACAACTGTCCTGTTGTCCAAACTTGAAAATACAGGATAACAGCAATTATCTATTTTCACATTGTATTTTTCTTGTTAGGTTTTGCCAATTGTTTAAAATGGTGAAAATGTAAAAAGGGTAAAGTCACAAGTTGCCAATTCCACCACTCCAAGGTTTCCCTGTCCTCTACCTGTCCAGTCCTGTGAAGATAGACAGTGCTCATTATCCCTGAATTTGCGAATCCATTAACCCCAGAAAAAACCCTGGGGTCAAATCCAAGGTGAAGTCTCTGTGTATTGTTAGGCTTCCAGTCCACAGAAGGACAGAGGTTAACACAACAGGGTGGGGGTGTGTTTGTCGGGGGGAGGTCAAAGGCACCACAATTACCCAACGCATTCCATCAGTCATCACGTATCCAAGTTTAGGAAGGAAGTTCACTGACTGAGCGTGTCTGTGCCTGTGACAGCCTAAAGCGTGGGCCAGACGGGAACTACTCAGTGGCTGAACTCCCCTCCTCCACCTGCTCTTTCTATCCAGCCTTCACATGGCCTAATCTGTATGACCATCTTTGCCCCCCCTCCTCAGGTTCCCTCCAGACCCTTAGCTTCAATACAGCTCCCATCCATCAGCCTATTGCAGCGCTCCCTACTTTTCAGCTGCCACACAAAGGAAGAAGTCAAGACAAGAGATCTTCCTCGTTTTAGCTCGTCTCCAAGTTCACCGTTAAATCCGAGCGCCGGCAGACAAATGGGCCAGGCAAGATCTATCTGTTGCAACACCCAGCTTCCTTTGGATGTCTATAGGTTTCATCAGCCTCTAAGGTGAAGTCTGGGTTCAACCGCAGACCAAATAAAAGCATGAGAAAAAAAAGGCAAGCCTAACTAAAACATGATCCATTACTTAAATTTTTAAAGCAATCTTTAAGCAGTAGCACATTCCAAAAACACTCCTTCTCACTCAACAGTGAAATGTACTTGTCCTCATCCCTAAAAACAATGATACTCTGGCTTTGAAGGAAGAAAAAGCATTGGAGCCATTCACATACTAACAAAATTGGCACTAACAGTGTGGAATATCAGAAAGTTTAGCTCTGTATTGCTTGTAAAATAATAAACACAACTACAGCTAAGAAGCATTACAGTCATAAATTAAGAATGTTGTCTGACCACCAATCATATTATCAACGAAGACTGCTTTTTGCAACCCTTTTCTCAAGAGGGAAAAACTGTCAAGAACCACAAGTCTGCATTGAGTGTCTGTTCAGAATTGTAGTGTTGTTTACTTATTATTTTAGTTGGGATTCTGTAAATTTCAGAGTGCAATGTCTAGTGCTTAGCATTGTTAAAAAGAATGCCATGCAGAGATGATAAGAAATGGAAGCAGAGTGAGCGAGCTAGGGAATGACAAGATACAAAAGGTCCTGGCAGAATGCAAATTTGAGATGTTGCAGTTCACGGTTGCAGCCTTAACTCGATAAACCCAAAATCTTGCTGGCGGGTTTGACAGGCATGCCTTTTAAAAAGAAATAAATCACCAAAATTAAGCCATTTATCTGGAAAAACAGAAAGACTTTCCAGATTTTCCAGTACCTTTTCAAAGGACCTTGAACTATGTGCCATCATTTAATCAAATCCAAGTTTAAAATTGTGATATTTCATCAAAATTATTTGATTCCACGTCTCACTTGCTCGCAATAAATGGTTTGCTATTGTTGACCACACCGGAAGGTATAGAGGGAAAGCACTTGAATAGGTATTCAATGTTTTAATGAGTTTGTATTGAGACTGTAAGTTCTTATTCAGTCACTTAGTAATTCATTCTAGTTAGCAGTTTGCATTGTGGTCCAGTAAAACATCAGCTTGACCCAGCAAGTTAATCAATAAAAAAATTAAGAAGGACAAACAAGTTGGAATATCACAACACTGCAGCAATTGAGAAGCAGTGCTAGAAAACATTTAGTATTCTTCACCCTAGGTAATGAATATAAGGCTGTTTGCCAAAGGTTAAGCCTCATCATCCAGAGGACTCTTAAAAAACTAAGCTCTTAAAAAAGGTCATCACTGGTAAAAATAACAAACAGGAAAAATATATTTATGTAAGGCTATGTAGCCCAGCTGTATGACACGTCATACACCTACACATATGTTGAAGCCAACAACTTGAAATTTTTTTCACCATTCCACAAATTATATATTAGCAAATTATAGTTCGGGGAAGCTGATGACATCTACTTTGTGCATAAAGCCAGTTATTTTTCCAATTATTCTTTATAGACAGATTAAAGGTGATTCCAGTGGGTCAGACATTTACCTACATTAAAATGATGGTTCCAATCTAGAAATTATATATCGTGGCTTTTGAAGGTTCTCATAGGCTAATTGATATCAACTGAGTCTACCTGTGGATGTGTTTTTACTGGTGAACACATTCATCTATACAAGATAGGTTTAAGTGTCATCATTGGGCTCAGGAAGGAGAAGTCTTCTGTCTCATCGAAATGAACCTACTTTAATGCAAAACATGCGAATCAATCACACAAAAACAGCTTTAAAAAAAACTTTTAAAGGTGCAGAAAGAAACAGCTACAGAAATATCTCAGGTCACAGGAAAATGAATCCTCTATCAACTTAACATGAAAGGCCTCCCAGTAAGGAAGAAGTCACAGATGTATAAATAGCCAGTAAGAAGTCAGACCACAGTTTGCAACCGCACGTGTGGGTAAAGATCTTACTTTAGAAGAAATGCCCTCTGGTGTGATTAAATAAAAATGGAATTGTGTGGCCAAAATGACCATCCTTAAGTCAGAGGAAAAAAGTGTGAGGCTTTCAAGCTGAAGTATACCATCCCAACCATGAAGCATGGTGGTGGCAGCATCATGCTGTGGGGGGGAATCTCTGCAAGTAAGACTGGCGCATTTCACAAAATAGTTAGCATCATGAGGAAAGAAAATCATGTTGATAAATTGAAGCAACATCTCAACATCAAAGTTGTGGCAAATGGCCTAAGGACAACGAAACTAAGGCATTGGTGTGGCTGATGTCAATCTAATAGAAAAAAAAAGCAATGAGGCTTAAAAATGTGACTCAGTTCCACCAGTTCCATCTGTAGGAGTGGGCTGATATTTGAGCACTTGCTGTGAGAAACTTGTGGATGGCTCCTTGCAACATTTGACCCAAGTTAAACAACACAATGCTACCAAACACTAACAAAGTGTGTGTAAACGTTCGACCGACTGGGGACATATTGAAAGAAATAAAAGTCGAAATAAATCGTTCTCTCCACGAACATTGTGCATGTAATCTTTTGACTTCAACTGTAAATCCTGAAGGGTAAAACGACGGCCAATACAGATGTTGACTGAACTGAAGTAAGTTAATAAAAACTATGTGACAGTTATAATTTGATAATACTTTTGTATACTGCTCTAACTGCAGAACCACTAAGGTGTCCCAGAAATCCATGTTAACATTTATCTCAAAAAGCAAGATGCCAAAATGCAATAGTCTGAGGAGGAAGTTGGTCTTCAAAATATCAACCAAGACATAATTCTTGCATGTGGTAGAAAGAGATGAATGGTTTGTGTAAACTACATGAATAAAAAAGACCTTCTTGCCCCTGCCTACTGTCCAGATTTATTCCAAACAAATGAAAATACAATGTGAAGGTTCCATCAAAAGGCTACAAGTAGAATCACTGCTGTCCTCATTTAGTTGTAACAGGGATATTTATTTCAATACAAACGCGCAGATTACCATCTGATTGTACCTGAGCAGACAAGCCAGATACATTGAGTATGTGGGAAAGCCTGCAGGGGACAGTCAGGACAGACTACACCGCTTGAGCCAGACTAACATCACATGAGAAATGAGGTGGTGTGGCGGACAGAGCCCTGAACCTCCCCTGATCCTGCTGGGGGCTGAAGTGGCTCAGAGTCCCGGTGGCAGATTGCACGGGGCTGCGGCGAGCAGACGGTCAACAATGGGCACCAGTGTGCATCCTCCATTAATCCCGCAGCATTTACAGTTACCCAGCAGTGCCAGGCCCGACGACCAATGGCGGGCCAGACTGCCAGGCCAACGGCGCCACCCTGCTGCCCTCAACACATTCATCTTCCCACCAGGGAGGTTCAGGCCGCCAGACAGACGCAGACAGCAGAGACAGCGATGAAGACGGAATGAGAGAGAAGGACAATGGGAAGGAGGGAATGAAAGAAAGTAGGGATAGAGATGTGGAGGAAGAGAGGGGAAGAAGGAGAAGCATTAAAAAAAAAGGACGGTAAAGGGGGGAAAAATGGAGAGCAGGGGGAGGAAGGGAAACATGAAGGAAAAAAGAAAAAAGACAAAAGCAGCTCCGTTTTTTTTTTTTTTTTTTTTTATCACCCGCTGTAACTGATTAAGGAGGCCCCAGGATCTTGGCAGAGGTGCCGATCTAAGGATGGTGGAGGAGGAGGAGGAGGAGGAGGATGAGGGAGGGAGGAGGTGACTACATCCAGACTGCTGCAGTCCTGGGGATAGTGGAGTCCCCGGGGATATCCAACAAGCTGACCTGTGCCACAGAAAAGTCCCCCTACTCTAATATGGAAAACAGGAAAAGCAGGAAATATTGGGAAAAAGAGCAGGAGCATAACATGCAGTAGTCTAGGCCAGCCATGGTGCGAACCAGCGACTCACTGCTCATGACATTTGCACCACTTGGGTTCCCCTGAAAAGTCCCCCTACACTGTCTAGCAATTTCTAGTTCATTCCCCATTTGTGGGTTTACCGAATTGCTTGTGTCTTTTTAGTGATGTCCCTATCTCACAAATTAACTTAGTGAGCGCAACATTATGAATACTCAGAGGAATGATGAGCAAACCTGCACTTTTTTTTTTAAGAAGTGGAAAAAACTTGAATTATTTTTTTAATTCTCTTGCTCTTGAGCTCCTCTCTTTTGTGGGAACCCCCTGGGGTCTATTCTGGGCCCCCTTTTATTTACTATATACACGCTACTAAAACTGTACATCCCAATAAAGCATGGCACAGATGTGTCACTGAGATTCCATTTTCACCTGGTATTAGCATGCAATCTGTATCCAGAGGAAGACGCACGTTAATACAAGGTGTAAATTCATGCAGAACACTTTGGGATTGGAATGCGATCAGATCGAATTGGGAGGCGGTCAGGCTCGCACTGTGTCACATCTCAGTCAGGTGTAAATGTAATTCCACAGCAGGATGAGAGGTGGCCGAGCTTAAAGAAACCCAACTAAAGCTACAGGTAGTACAGTAATGTCAGTTATGCAATGTGAAAAAATAGAGCATTGCTTTCTTTGACGTGGGTAATGTTTGATGACAAGACGGCCAGTCCCGCCTCACTTGCACATTGAGGTTGAATCAAACACCTGTAGATTCAATGTCACTGTCCAGGTAACATATCCAGATAGCAGTCATATGTATTCCCAACTGTGATTATGTTCAGTCTTGATGTAATGCTGCCAAAACAGAAAAAAATACTGTTACCTCTTCTGGCCCAAGCCTCAGCAACTTGAGGCCATTTTCCACTGCAGGGCCCTTTAAGGAATGACCCAAATCTTTGAATATATTGTGCACATAGTTGGGTAGATACTTCTGAAAAACTGCTCTATGGGTGTTGATGGTGATTGGTTCAAATCCCATCAGTCCTTGCTGCCCTTCACTGGTCATCTGTCACTTTGAAGATTTGACAGCATGTTTATATTATCTTTATTATCATGTTCTGATTATATCTGTAAGCTGCACAGTTTATCTGATTACTGCTTGAGATCTTTTGGCAAGGCCTTAAAAATGACCGCAAAATCTTGACTCGTTACCAACGGTGATGGTCTTGGCACGGGCAGCTCAACTGCATATGATGTTACTCCTGCATCCCTGACAGCACAGGAGGATAGGCTTTGATCCATCTTGGTCGTCAGAGAGGAAATACTCCTCAAAGGTAAAGTAAATAAAAATGCACACCCAATTCCAATCCATGCAACCTTGTAGCACTTGGATCGCAGTTTAACTCAAGGAAAGAGTTACAGATAGTTGATCAAATGTAATAAAGACAGAAAAATGTGTACCAACTGGCATTGGAAAGGGTCAGCGCCAGATGTTATTATATGTCCTCTAGATGTTCCTGATTTTATTACGTTGAAAAAGGAATGGATGTACCAAAATCCGTTCATCCCTGATACTGGGTGAACTTCATGAAAACAAGAAGACACTAGAGGAGCTTTGTCACAACTTATGTTCAACCTGATAAATTAAAGAGTAAATGGATAAGTCATTTTATACACAACCAACACATAGAGACACAACCTATGAACCAGACTGACCTGATGGAGTAAGGACAGGTGAAGGGTGTTTCTCCGTCTCTCTGGTCAGCCTGCATCTGTAGCAGCCGTCCAATGACTTTTATCAGCTCCTGGACATTTCTGTTGGAATCAAAAACAGAACACAGAAGAGATCGTTATCGCAACACAGGGAGTCTGAGGAAAATCTGTGTGTACAGAAAAAAACGAGCCAGGTTGAGCCTAGTTGCCCAGCTTAGCTTAAAGTCTAGAAGCAGGTGGTAGTAGGCATAGAGGTGTTGGTAGGTGTATTTGTATCCATGCTAGCCTGGGTAAAAATATACCTACCAACACCTCTGAAGCTTGTGAATATTCTTCATCTCTGGATTTCACCCTTATATCAGCTATGGACACTCTAGATGTAGCATAAACCGTTTCTTCCATGGTATTGTAGTGGTTACTTGCATGATTGTCCCTTTTTAATATGCATCACTAAAAGGTCAAAATGACATAACAAAAAGACAATTTGTGGTTTCAGTGTGAGCTATGCACTGGAACTATATTTTTAACAGTTACGTCGTCCATCTAGCACTTCACCACCCATTTACCGGCCATAGTGCGGGTTGCCAGATACATTCAGTCACACGTTTTCAGCTTTAAACCCAGTGGGACTAATCCTGGCAACCTCACTGTAAGGACAGAACTCCAGGAAGCTCTGCACCCATCTGTTGTATGTCAGGAATAAGTTTGAGCCCATAACTCTGCCTCTAAGATGGCATTTTTATGTATACATTGGCATTCTGACGTTCCTGTAAATGCACAGGTTTCCCAAAGAGAGGTGTTGGTAATTGCTTTTTTTCCACTTTGGACAGGGCCAGGCTAACTGTTACCCTTCGCTCACGGTTTTTATAATATCCTGACTCCAGCTGTACTGCACAAACACACCAGATTGGTTTCCATTTTCTCATCTCACTGTGGGAAAGAAACTTTTTTGATAAAAATTTTGAGATTTTTCTTTTTAGTTTGTATGACATGCAGGACCAAACCTCCAAACTGTGATAGCATCAACACTAAACGGGGTTAATATCGATATTTGTGGCCCTTAATTCAAATCAAATGCAGTCCAGTCAGTGGTGTCCATCGTACGGCTTTCAACTGCACAAACTCTTGTGAAGATGAGAACCCAAAGCTAAGAGAAAGGCTAGTGAATGCCATTAATTAAAAAAAAACGAATTAAAGATGCCACGAGAACTGATACTTTGGTACCAATTCAATGACAAATTTCTACTTGTAGAACTGTAGAAAACTGTAGACACTGAGTATACTGGACAATAACAACATCATACAGAACAGTGGCAGCAGGGTCTCCTGTTATTCCAAATAACATACTTTGTCCTTTTTCATTCGGCATGTACAACAGCTGTCTTTACAAAAGTATGCACTGTTGCTTGCTGTCCTGCTTATATATTCATAGCAGTCTGCAGTGTGAAATCACCTGCTTGTGCATTCTCAGCAGTCGAAGCTTGTTTAGTTAGAACGACAGAGGTCAGAATGGCCAGTAAAGCATGCTGGTTTGCACAGTGCAACAGATGTAGTCGGACACCCTGGTGATTTTTGCAAACTGAATTTGACATATGATGTATTGTGACACTCTAAATCATTTCCTGGCGTACTACATAGTATCATAGTATGGGTATTTAAGTTGCAAGTTGGAATGAACCGTGGAAACACCTTCAATCTATCTAAGCAGCTCAATAACAGGCATCAAGGTCTGCACATCGAACTAAAAACTCGAAAATTGACTGAAATGCTTTGTAGAGCGGAGAAGAACTGCTAGATTAGGCTTAGGACACATTTCACACTTCGCATATTAATTTCATCCAAGTTAAAATCAGCATTTTAGTTAGTGCAGTATTAAAAAAAAACCCGTCTTTTTTTTCTCCCTCGGGTTTATTTTCAGATTTAGATTTTGTTTTGTTTTCTTATTAGTTTTTATTTCAGCAGTTTTATTTATCTCCCTCCAACTTAGGCCAACACTCTTACGTGTGCATTTCATGCATCGTTATAATGTGGATTATGGAAATAAAATAAAATCTGATTATTACAAAAAAAAAAAACAAAAAAACATTGTCTTTATTTTGGGAGCTAAAAAGACTATGTGTAAGTATTTTTTGCTGTTGTTGTTGTTGAACCAACCGTTAGCTTGAGATAATTTTTTTTGCTAATTTAACTTTTTCAAAGTAAGGTGCATCGTATAATGTTGTGTTGAAAAGTCCAGATGGGTAGAGGGGGTAAGGACAATGAGGCAGGGATAAATTATGCTGTTACATTTAGTTGTATACAAAAGTATGGAAACCCCTGAGCATATTTTGTTGACATGTGATGTAAAAGTATTAATAGAGCCCCGTAGGAGATGGCAGTATGGCCTAAACTAAGTTGTATCACTTAAAGAAAAGCTTTAAAAATGTATTTTGTCTTGAATTTTGAGTCTTTTTGTCTTGTTTTGTTGTCGTTGTCCCTCTGAACCTTTAAACCTATTGGCTAGATGGAAAAGATGACACCATTTATCACAGCCAGAAACTTTAAAAACAAAAAAAAAAAAAAAAGCTTCGGATTTTAAATTTTTTGCCGGTTCTTGATTCCAAATGTTATCACTTTATTGTACGAGGGTACTTTTCTTTAATTGTTTCAAACAAGGAACGTTATATAATGCTTTGTAGTAGCACCAAAATGGGAGTTAGGCCCCAGGTCACCAGGTGAGGGTGAAAACATTTTTACATCTCCTTGTACATGTCTTTTTTTTTTCTTTTTTTTTTTAATCTCCAAAAATTAACTGTTTGCACCCGATCCTGTAAAAAAGACAAGTATCCAAAAGTGACATGACAAAAAATATCTGTGACTTTACACAGAGCAGAAAGGAGAAAAGCATTTAAACAAATAAAAAATGTAAGAGGGAAAATATCTATACTATGTAGAGCCATTTCCTCCACATTTCTAAAACCTGTGTTCATTTGCAAAATTGACAAAAAAAAAAGACATTTTATTAAATTTTTTTTCAATTTTGTGAAATAAAATAATTCCAATTTTCTTTTTTCTGTTTTAAAGATTCATGTCTTGGTAACTTTGTCATGCGACACTGAAGACATTTTTAAGTTCCCCCTACTTCTAGCCATGGTCGTTCCATTTTCACAGAGGTGCAGGACTTCATATTGCAACCAAAAATAAGGGAGGCAGGAGCAGAAAGAACACCCAGACGCTGCTTAAGGGCTCAGAGGATTAATACAATAACAACCCCACGTCTTTTACAAGAACGTTCTTGTTGATACAGGTGTGTTTTGCGTACCTGGCAGAAGGCAGGAGGTTGAGGACGCTGTTGAGGACGTAGTGCAGGTCTGCGTGGCCCTGATCCACCAACAGAACCACGGCGTCGCAGCAGGCGGAACGCACCGGGGCGCAGTCGCTGCTGCACTGCTGCCACAGCACCTCCATGGCTGGGCCCTGACACACAGTCAAGCCAAGTTAAACACAGATTAATTGCCCAAACTTTACGCTTTCTGTGTTGCATCATGAGAAACCACTGTCAGAAAATGCTTCACGTTAGTCAATAAAAACATTCTACTTTCCATTTAGCTATAAAAATCATAATCCTAAGGGAACCTACCTGGGTGGAGGACTGAGCGATTTGCCCATTTGACCCTTTTTCCTTCAACACGGCAGCGACAAGGTTTCTCACCGCCTGGAAAACAAAAAAAAAACAAATTTTTAAATAGTGTTCGGGGAGGGGATACGATTTCTCAACAGTGGTTATAAACAGTTTATAGTTTACCCTTTCGCAGAGGACGGGAGTCGTGGGCAGATTAGATTACAGTTACAATGGATTCCAAAGGTTACATGCTAACGAGAAAACCTATCAAAAAAAAAAAAAATCGAGAAACCGCTTCTGCAGGAAAAGTCAACAGGAATCTCTTAAGGGAATCAACCCGGTCTTCCAAACACTCACATTTAGTTTGTACACATAAGAATTCATATCTTTGCTGCTTTCATCCACTATAAAAAGTGCACCTGCTCTGTTGTTGTTTACTGATGGGCAACCAAGGATGTTCCTCAAGGTTTTTTTTTTAGTACACAGAGGATCAAACGTTCACTTCTCAGGCCTTCAGACTAACTTTTTACATTGTTTGTAAGTGCACTCTAAACTTTTCACTATTTCTTTTCGTGCTGAATAGTAAATTTAGCTAGACGAAGACGATGCCATGATACAACCGTGATCTCTTAGAGGTGATATACGGTGCCTGGTGACGCTCCTTTCCCACAAGAAAGTAGCACAAATAGGCTACGAATGTGCATAGACAGCGGATGTGGAGCTACAAGTAGGGATGGGAGGTGGGTGCTGACCTCTACCCAAAATAAAAGTGACCCGACGCCCCACATGAGTTAGATATTAGCAGCAGCAACACCAGGAAACAGCCGGAGCACTGAAATGACTATAAACACCAATAAAGGGCATAAAAATATCCAAAAAAAGACACATTTTGTAATTCAGTTTTGTCTATCAGAAGACAAATACTGTAGTCATCTTGTACACAAAATATCGCAAAGCTAAAATACAACACCACCTGACAGAAACACCTGTGAGTCAAAGCACAGGGCACAACAGCCCCTGCACATTGGTTGCCAGCTCAACCCATAGACTGTATAAAAGATGGACGTAGCTTCCGTGACGTCACCCGTTGGTTTCTGCACTGAGAAAATGAAGCCAGGGTTTTGCTACTTCCTGGTTGACATCTTGGCTTTTTGGAGCCAGTGACGCAAAAATCATCGGAGGGCGATGGAGCCATAGGAGCAGTGATTGGTCAGACGGATTGAGAGGCACATTTACCGTCTTCTGCTCGCTTCATCTGTATGGTCGCTGCCGACTGTCAATCAAGCCAGCCACGCCCCTTGCCCCGCAAAATGTTGATGATTTTTTAAAAATTCAGTATTCATTTATTTTCAGATTGGCCACCTGATCTCTGGATTTGACCATGAAAACTAATTTTAAAAAAATCCTGAACTGGAGGAATGCAGTATTTCATGACCTGTGATCACTTCTTTTCCAATTCAAGTCTATGGGAGCCAGGGCTTTTTGGAGCCAGGACTAACGGACGTAGTGATATTGCAGGTTTTTGACACTTCTGGGTTGGCTTCATTTTTCGGGGCTGGTTGCTACGTCCATCTTTTATACAGTCTATGGCTCAACCAGGTGAGCTACAACAGGGGCCCGCTAAGGTTGTTTTTAATACCCACCCAAACCCACTATCAGAACCAAGCAGCATTGCCCGACCTGCACGAATATAGACGGGAAGAAAAGGTGGCTTTGAAGGGACAGCTACTATTACTGTTTCAATATGTTTTCTTCTATTAAAATTAAAGGTGTTTTGGTACATTTGAACAGGTACAAGCTGTATATCTACATCAGGACAGGCAGATTTGCTATAAACGTGGGTAAAAATGGCCACAGGTGCATACTTTTCCCCAAAGCTAAGATTTGAGTGAACGGAGCTAAAATGTTCGACACAAGCGGCCATTTTTTTTTCCCCATACGTCATCCCAAATCAGTTGTACCTGTTATCATCAACAACTTTGTGCACCACACAAATTCTAATGTCTAGTATCTAAGTGTGTATCTTTGTGAAAGCAGCCCCAGGCGCTGAAGCCCCCATCCTGCCTGTTGAATTATTGCAGGACAATAGATCTGGATGGGACACACGTGAAGCAGCTGTCACGGCGAAGCAGCTCACCTGGGCTTGTATGACGGGGCTGGGGAAATCAAACCGTGTCTTCAAGCTCTCCATCATATCTGCAGGTCATGCCTGAGAGCAGAAAGAATCCTTTATTTTAGAACAAGCTCAAACTTCAGAAAGTAACATGTGCTAGAATTTAACTTTCAAAGAATCTCGTCAATGAAACACAAAAGAATAATTTCAGAGAGGAAGCTGGGAACACCCTCCTATTTAACGCCACAATATCACATAACAGCGGCGGTGAAGTCAGCCTTTGAAACAAAAGCTCGCTGATGCAGCCACCTGTCGCTTCATAGCACTAATGGAGCGAACATTCCAGGGAGAAGCACTGCTTGGAGGCATTCAGGCGCTGACCCTTTGAAAGCCGATCCCAGACGTGCGTTATCAAATTATTGGCCCGCAGCCATGACATAATTTTGCATTAATTATTTACGAGTCATCAGTACACCACCTTACTCGCTAACTTGCAGGTTGCTAAGCAGACGAGGGGCCCGTCTCAGGTTGGTGTGACAACATACGGTGCAGGCGCCGGTGACCGCCAGCTGTCCGGGGGCCTGAACGCAACCAGCAAGATTTGATTTGACTTGGAATTTCTGCTCTGTGCATACTTTTTTTTTTTTTTTTGCGTGGTGGAGTCACAAACTAATATTGAAACTATTAAATTAAACAAGTAAACCATATCACCAGCTCCTATACACATCTGTGATTTCTTAACACATTGTGTAAATGATCGTAAACAAAAAAAAGGTGCAGATAAATGTTCTTTACGTTTTCATCGGCATGATCTGAAACGTCTCTGGCTACATCATAAGCAGTGTTGAGTTTAAATGCTTCACTGCTTTAGTTTGCTGCTGCTTGGAGCTCTGCTGGTCATGCCCCCATCAAGGGTTTGGTTTCTTGCCCTTTTTTTTTAACATCTTGATTCCAAATATCAATGCTTCAACAGCTTTGGCCACATTTGCCAACAAAAGCAATGCATCACGTCCCACATGTTGAGAATTTACTTGAGCTGGGAGGTGCCACAGTGACAGGCTCCTTGTTTAAAGAGGGCGCAGGTTGTTTTTTGAAGCTACAACTTACAGACGTCCCTTAAACGCCTCACGTGCGATTAGACGCTGCACAGAGAAGCCTCTAGTCCCCTTCAATTACTGGGTCACAGCAGGTCAGACACTGAGAAAATTAGTTTTGAAAGTGTGAAATGAGGCGTTCTGATGACCTGCTAACAATGAAAACGTTCTTTACAGATTTTTGGTCACATGTGCCGTCAAAATGGTGGCCTGATGGTGTTTACTCATTGGAGCAATTGGCATGTTGAACACATTCATATAGTGCAACCTACTTAAATGTGACATCTCATTCAGGAGATAAATCATCAATAATCATCCTAAATGTTCATATATATAATTTACAATGGTTTATTGTATATTTAAATCTCAGGATAAAAGCTTACTAAACAATAGCATTGAACTAGAAAAACAAACATCAATCAAAAAAAATGCAATTTTTCATTTCATATTTTTGTATTTTTAAGATTAATGTCAGTTATCGTATTGGCCACCACCACAACCACTGCTTTTTTTTTTGTTCTTTGTGTTTTTATTTTATCTCATTAGCTTCGCTCCACTGCAGAGGGGATTGTGTTTTGTTTACTTTGATGTTATGACATATATTATATCATAGGGGTTAATTTTTCCCTTTTGGGAGGTTGGACCCGGCCCCTTTTTTCTTTAAAATTGAGGAATTGGAAAAATATATATATATTTTTTACCACATGTTGTGAAAAAAGGAAAATTCACAATGAGGCAATTGACAAAAATTTTAAGTCGCCATGTGCTGTTATAAACCAACAGTTATACGGTCAGTGTTTATCAGCATATTGCTCCTTATTCTCTAATATCAAAGTCGATTTTCTTTTTAAAATTTTGAACCTGCATCATTTAGATCTGTCTTTGCTAGCTGGTACTTTTCTTCCTCTTTGCTTTCAGTGGCTTATTTAGTTGCTGCCTCGACTGGATGAGTGGAACAACATGAAGCTGGCCACAAGAAGTACGTCATAGACTATAAAAATCTAATACTGACATGTCACGATCAATACTTAAAAAAAAAAAAATCATTGCAACATGTATACTAGCGTTGTGTTTTTTTTTGACGTAAACATTTCTGGTTCCAGCTTCTCAGACCTACATTTTTACTGTTTTATATACATTTTTTTATTACTTTTAGATTATTTTAAAGATCAGTGGTAAAAACAAAACGTAACCTGTAGCTCGAGTTAGACTGATATCATTGGTTACCTGTTAAGAATTTAATATCCCATTAAATCCTGTGAATTTAGAGTTTTATTAGCAAGCGATGTCTCCATTAAACCATTGCTTGGTCTATATAAAGCATCCAATCAGTTAAACACACTCATCAACAACTCACTACTCCACTACACCAACCCCTCCTGCTATCCCCACCCTTCCATTTCCACTCTCACCCCAACCGGTGGAGGCAGACGGCCGCCTTTCCTGAGCCTGGTTCTATCGGAGGTTGTTTTTTTTGGTTCCTTCTCACCGTTGCTGACCGCTTGCTCAGAGGGAACCCAAAGGCTACTTTAGACTTTTGGGTTCTCCGTTTAAAATTCGTAAGATCTTCACCTGACTATGTTGAGTGCTATGAGATGACATATGTTGTGAATTGGTGCTATATAATTAAATTAAATGTCTCGCTGGAGCAACGATCCAAACTTTAAAATGTTAACTTTACAATGTGACGAGAAACGGCTGCAAACGTCTTTGCGTTTGTGGACCTGACAGCTGGAGCTGTTCATGTTCTTGTAGTTTTAGCTTTAGATTCGGCTACGACATGTACGTTTGTCGTCGTCTTTATTTGTATTCTTCCCTTCCAGTTGGAGAAGGACACTGACATTGGTTTAAGTTGACATTGGTAATGGTAATGATAAAGTTGATGTTGATGATGATCTTGCTTTTGCTTTGTGGTTGTGCCTCAATATTTGTGTTTGGAATGCTCAACTTGTTCTTCGGCAAGTTGTTTTATTTTTCCCGGGCCGTTTTTTTTTTTTTTTTTTTTTTTATTATTCTTTTCAACCACAATTCAAAAGCAATGTCCTATTTCACTAAACTACAATTTAGCAAATTTTTATTTATTATTACTTTTTTCAGTTTCTAATTATTTGAGGGACTATTGTGAATTTTGTCTTTTCTTTAATGGAAGGGTATGAATAAATTTGAGCACGACTGTATCACTGATATGGAACATGCTGCTATCCTTTTGCTGCGATCGACTTCTGCTTAACCAACATCAGTAAAGCGACATATCGGTTTAACAAGGCTCCTGTAGCCTAACCCCTCACCACCCCCTCCCCAAACACCCAACCCCCCCCTCTGCTGTTATCTAAGTGATAAGCCAGCCTGCTTTGCTGTACTGTCCACCACCCTGCTGCTGCTGCTGCTGCTGCTGCTACACTCTCTCCACTATCATTCAGCTGCACGGCCTCAAAAACAGGTAAGTCAGCAGCACCTGCTAACACACAGCTGTTCTTCTGACTAAACTTTCACCAAGTGCTCATTTTCTGCTGTTTCTAGCCTCCACGCCATTTAATCATCTTATACACATACAGACACGTCACCACATTCATACCCAGCATTGGAAAGCTTGAAATAAACTGAAATATGTGAGAGACACATTATTCAATATCACAAATGAAGCCGTCTTCGTTTGCTGTGTTTAAGGTGACGCCTGTAATTTTAGGAGATCCTGGCTTCTTCTCTAAATTTAAACATTGGTCAGCTAAAACCTTTAAAAGTTTCAAAGTGTTCCAGCGGCTTCTACAGCATATTTACCTTACAGCCAAACAATATAGGCTGGCCCGTACTGCTAGGTCTGCATTAGCGATACAAGTGAGGACAATGCACGAGCAGTGTTGAGCCAACAGTGCTTTAGAAATGACACCGCTGAGGCTTTACTGTGGGACACTAGCAAACTGCACATTGCCGGGCAGGCACGTGGGAGTTTCCACGGCCTTTCAGGTGGAACTTTTTTTTTTTGCACAGTCGTGGTGGAAGGCCTGAGATCCCAGCAGCACAGAGGGCAGCCGGGTGATTGTGTTCTTTCCCATGACGCAGCGACTGGTTTGAATAAATCTGGTACTTTTTAGTTATTGTGGAAAAGGTTCATCAGGATTAACAGGAAACAAATGTACAATAATCGCGACGGATTTAACAAAAAGGATTTATCCCTATTCTCTGGTTTCAACTTCAAGATTCAAGAAGTCACAGAAAACTAGACTGTTACACTGTACGATGAAATTCTTAGTTTGCTGATCCTACTTAAGCAAATGGACACAATTTCAGAAAAACTACAGCAAATCTAAATGAATAAGCCGGTTGTAAAGTGCACTCTGCATTACTGTAAACGTTCTTGGTCTGAATAAAGTAATTATGGCAGTCATATTCCATGTGTAGAATATCTACATTTCTCTGTTTTATTGAACTAAAATGGAGGTGGTTGATCGTTGTTTGAACAAGCCATTTCTACACGTCATCTTGGGAACTGACTATTTTAGTAGATTTTACAATGACAGTGATTTTCAACAGTATTTTAATTATAACATTTCACTACTGTGAAACTGCAAAGAAAACTGACTTAGTACAGAACCTTTTGACCTCTAGTCCATGAAGCCCCAAAGAGTTCATAATACAAAGAATATTTTCTAGATTTTTAATAAAGTAAAGCAACGTGTAAAACTTCAAAAAGTAAGGACAGATTGTGACTTTTTTCTATAAAAACAAAAAAAAAAAGATGGACTGTTACCTCCTGAGTCAATGTGATCACAACAAACTTCTTATTTTTGCATCAGATTAGATTTATTTTCGAATTAAGATGTTCTCACTTTAATTGCGACATAAATGCTCCATAATGCATATACAAAATAAATCTGATTATTGATCTTCAACGTTTTCATTGTTACCAATGAGCTTAGAATCGATTTAACACAATTTGATGGAATTTGTTCTATAACTTTCATACTCAAGCATAGTTAATGTTCCGATTCGAGTCAACGATGAATGAGTTACTCGATTAGTCGTCAACGTCTAAATTAGTCAGAAAACTGGTTAATTGATTCGAGTAGTTTTTACACATCTACATTTTTTTTGATTGTGGCATAAATATGAACATTTTTTGGTTTCCTTCCTTCCTCTGTGACAGGAAACTAAATATCTTTGGGTTGTGGACAGAACAAGGCATTTGAGGACGTCCTCTTGGGAAACACAAATGGACTTTTTATTCACTATTTTCTGACGCTTTATAGATCTATGAAATAATCACCAAGTTACAGCCCTAGTTTTGACATCAACAATCTGATGCTCGTTTGCTGCCACTCAAGTCACTGCTAAGACTTTCAATGTTGCGTGAAATACCACATAAAGATTCCCCAAGTATCACAGCCACTTGACAGATCGTGATCGTAATAACTGAGTGGTGCTGCTGCTGCTGCCAGTGGTGGTCTATTTTAGCAGCAAGGTTTTGACTAATTATTCATTTAAACTGTAACTTTTGCTACAGTACACTCACGACGAATTAAAGGATACAGTCTGTTTTGTCCAAAAAAACTTTCAATTACCTTTTGTGCTTTAGAGCATTTTGTCAATAGACTACTAAAGATCAAATTGGACGTTTTTTTAGTGGGCTTCACTGTGGCGCGATCTCTCAAGCATGTCGCGGTGCTGATGCTGTTTTTACGCATACCAAAGCAGCCACGGAGGCACTTGAGGACAAAGCCTAGTTAAACATTCCTACTCGGTAATTTTACCAGAATAAACTACACTATAAGCTATAAACTGTTAAGTTAGCTGACGTTAGTTTAGCACTCAGCTGAGTCGGCTAACAGAAGCTACATCGGAGTTATCAGCACAAGCTAATGCTAACATGAGTGAGTTATCACGAAGACAGGCAGACTGCATTTGCTACTGTAGCAAGCTGAGTAAAATCTAAGCATCTCAGTCAAAACTAAATCAGAGTTAGACATGTTGCTGTAAATAACTTTACCTCCTTCATCCAGCCTCCTGCAAACGCGCATGGAACTACGGCGAGTACGGAGGACCAAAAGTGATAGAAGACCGGCCTGTCGTGCACCATGACATGTCAACATCAGTGTAATTAAATTAGAGGAAGAATTTAAGGCGTAGTGACAGTGCAAAGCAGCTTATAAAACCATATATAAGTGTATAGACCGGCTTTTAAGTCAGAATTAAGAGATGAGCTGAAAATGTCCTCATTGGACTGCAATGCTTAGTACGAATGACACGTGGGGAAGACTGGCTATTTTAAATGAAATGTTTTTTAATTTGAATATTATTAGCAGTAGTGACATGTATTATTACTATTATTGATATTATTAACCTTATTTTAACAGTTTAATCCAGTTGAGATAGAGAAATTAAGATAATGAAGTACTACAATCCCACAATAGATATAACATCAATATGGCAATGCTTTTAAAAAAATAAAGAAAATAAAAATCAACAAAAAAACCGGTATGTCAGCAGGTTTTTTTTTATTTATTTTGACACTAGTTGTGCATTTCAAATATGAAACAAAAAATTCAGCTTGATTTGAAAGTTTTTCGTTTGTTTTATTATCAGAATTTCACTATTTGTATACACACAATAGAAATCAGTTTAAATACATTTTTTCACTGTCTTCTGCATTAGACATGTTTCCATACAATGGAAGCCATTCACGGCACACAGAAGACGGTAAGGCTGTGTCTCCTCTCTAAAAATATTTTGTTTGAGGTCAATATAACGTAACTGATTGCGTAAACAACTTAGGTAATTTTTTTTTTGGAACAGCAATCAGCAGAAAAAGTTACTTGTTTGTTTTTTGTTTTTGTTTTTTGTCATCATGATCATGCTTTTACTTCAAAATCTGTGTAGATCTTGGTTTTACATTTGCTTGTTCAAAGTCAGATATCGTCCCACTGTCTTCACAGCAATGTTAAGCTTCGAAAGACTTTGAACGTCACATACAAACTGTTAAAACACGTTTCATGCCGGCTTTCCCCCTGGGACTTGAAGGCAACATAATTACAGAAAGGTTGCGGCCACCTGATTGGAGGTCAGCGTGTCTGCTGTTCTCCCATTGGCTCGCTGCATCTCGTGCTCTGTCTGCGGCCCCAGTGGGTACACCAAGCTGCGCGTGCGCTTTACCCCTTAAAGCTGTCAAGTTGATCGAATTGAGCCAGAAAAGTGACGGAAATATGAAGCTCTTACGCTCAAAATAAAGGGCTGGAGAATAAAATAGACATTTTCTTCATCTGAGATTCAGTAGTTTGGAAGGAGTTCAACAAATGTTTGAGGGCCATAAATGAATTAATTATTGATGGTAAAAGTGATGCTACTGTTGCAGATACACGTGGAAAACACGTAGCACTAAACAGCTATCACACAAGCTACTTCTTGCACACACGCAATATTGAATAGTGCAATTTAAAAATAGTCACATGCAGATTTGGTTGCTACCAAAACAGCAAACAAATGAATAGCCTAAATTAAGTATTTCACCCGCATATTTTTATTATTTTCCTGACAGATTGCAGAGGGCTTTAAAAATGTACTGAGATCTTAATGTTGGTAAGATAAATATATAAGCAATTGATTTGTTATTATTGTTGTTATTATTTTTTCATTACTAGGTCATGCATGTACAAGATACCATAAATTCATACAAGCCAGGACTACAGAGCTATGTGTACATGTCCAAACAATAAAGAATGTTAAAGAATAAAAAAGCAAATTGAACGTCTAATAAGATCAAAGTTTAGACCCTACCTATCTTAAACAAAATTCCCAAATCATCAACAAAAACATACAGTATTAAGAGAAACTCCTTTAAAATCAAACAGCTGCATAATAATTTAAAGAATATTGTGCTACTGGTTTGGATAATGTGGGTGGTACCCATGTGGTGGTACCTATAGCGAAGCGTTACTGCAGAAGTTTTATTCTGAAAGTCACCACCGGAATGTATCTAGTTTATTGAGGGTATTTGACAGCCGGCGACCCTTTGAAAGTCTTGAGTCTGACTTCAGTCCAGGAGAGACCATGTCCGCCGTCATAGGCAAACTGTACTCACCTCTAATCTCATTTAAAACTAATTCTCCATGAAATAACAGTAACACGGGGCCTCAAGGATGGCCAACTCGGTGAGTAGCCTTTCGGGAGATTTGCTATGGCCTGTCCGGTCAAATGGAGGATATGTTTGGACATTTTGCCGTTTGTCACACCGGAGGAGTCGCTGGTTTTTTTTTTTACTCCGTAACGAGGATTTTCAAGCCGCACGGCTAGCTAGAGCCGATACGTGCCGCTATCAGCTGAACCAACAGTGCACTGCAAAATTCCGCTTAAATAACGGGGGGTTTTAATATTCGCTTTTTGCAGACAAAAAGAGCGCTTTTGTTAATTTGTAAATTAAGGTATTTCAGAACGTCTACACTTCATTCTTTCATTCGGCATAAAGATACACGCAATACATGAAGTAACTTGGCCCGTAAATCGGGTTAATGGCAACTTTCCCGACAGGTTTTGTCTTTATTGTCATTGCATTATATTGTAACAGTAATGCAACGTTACTCCACGAGAGAACACAGAGGGAATACACTTCAGTAAAGTCTAAAGTTTGTGGAAATGTGAGCATTTATTAAGAATTAACCTGTAGCAAATAGTATTTTTTAAAAAGTAAAAGGACGTTGTTTAGATTTTCCCATTTGTGTAAATTTCCAGTGTTGCATAAAATGTCAGATTTCTGAATGGAGTTCGACACGAGGTTCTCGTGTATGAGACAGCGAAACATAAAGGGGGGTTCTGCAAGTCAAAGTAGCGCATCAAAGCCAGGAACGGATCGGGTTCGGCTTTTGCTACAAGTATTAGTTCAGACATTATTTTTATTCTCTGCCAAACGTTTTGATTTTTGTTTTTAAACGTGGTTGCATGTGGAGCAGTAACCTAGCATCACTGTGTCCCACAGGGTGCTGTTCAGGTGAAACTAGAACTTGGTCATCGTGCCCAGGTCAGAAAGAAACCCACAGTGGAAGGCTTCACCCACGACTGGATGGTGTTTGTCCGAGGACCAGAGCACAGCAACATCCAGCACTTTGTGGAGAAAGTTGTTTTTCACCTGCACGAAAGCTTCCCGAAACCAAAAAGAGGTAAATAAGAGCTGCTCATTTCTGCTTTCTCTGGCACAGTTTCTTCAGGGCAGCTGGGTCTCCCAGGGCTGTGGGAAGGGGTTGGAGGGAAGGGGAGGGGAGGGGGGGTTCAAACAAATGATCAGGCTCTGAGTCCTCCATGCTGCTCATGTGTGCACGAACAAACCAGTCCCTGTAGCTGACATCTGGAGGATGACACAAACTTTTGCATCTGTTGCTGTAAGCAGATGTGTAATTGCTCAAACGCACATTGTGGAGAAAGTGGTGTTAGTGCATGTCCTGTTGCAAACCGTTGCTGCTGTGTAGTTGCACATGGAAAGTGTGATTCTTAGAGGACAGAATGAAAAGGTTGGGGGAAAAAAAAAAAAAAAAATGAAGCAAAATACTTTTTATGTTTGTGTATTCTAAATATCACTCCATACACGTGTTTGAAACTCTGCCACGCCGGAGTAGTCATATCTGATGTTGTTTTTGGAGCAAGGCAGACGCTGTAGGAGCAGCGTGGGGTAGTGGACGTTTACAGGAGAGGTAAAGCAGGTCTAACTAGGACTGGATTTGGTTGGTTGCAGCCCTGCAGACACTTGACTCCTAATGAGGCAGGGAGTGCAAAATACAAGTATTGCAAATTAGGAGAAATCAAGGTTAGGGTGCTTTTTTTTTTAAAAAAAAAAAAAAAAGCTTAACTACATTCTTTATAAATTATTTTGCCAATGAGATGAGCTCAAGGTGATGTTTTTCAACTAAAACCATCCAAAACACTGCACTGCATTATATTATCATTTTTATAATCGCATGAATAGCATTGCGCCTTGACATTTTAGAGGCTGCAAGGATTTCCCTTTTTTAGGTTGTTCATTGAATGCATCATGAGCCCTACCTCTACTGTATAAATTAAGAGGAACTGTGTTGATGTTTTAGGCCCCATTTTAAATGTTTTTTTTCACATCATTTGGTACCATGAGGGAGGCGTGTGATGCTGTAGCAGGACAACAACTATTTAGTTAGTTTTTAAGAACTATTTTTCACTACAAGAAGAACGCAGTACAAAACCTGGATCTCAACATCATGGAGTTGGTTTACACAAAGAGATGTGATGAGAAAGTCTAAATCCAAAGAAGAACTATGGTTTGTTCTCTTAAGATATGAACAGCCTACCTGCCAAGTACGTTGAAAAACTGTGTGCAAGTGAAGCAAACTATTCATGGCATTACTTCAGGAAGCGTCTCACTTTAGTTTTACTTTACCTTATATACTTCCAGGCATAGATAGGGGCTTTCAACGTTGAGGGAGTAGACCAGTTTATACTCTGTGGCGTTATAGTTATTCTGTATTCTGATTGGGTTGTTGACATGGATTGTAGAAGCACTTGCTTTGTATGAATTGACATTTCTGACAGTATTTTCACGTCTTTAGTCTCCAAATCTCTAAATCAGCTGTCGATGGTCATGTCTCACCACCATTTTGGTGATTTTTTTTTTCCCTCATCTTTTGTCTGGATCAGCCCAGAAATCGCACTGTGTGTAAAGTCCTTAAGTCCTTGTGGTGTGCTTGTGTGTGATAAAGGGGCCCGGATGGAGCCTTAAGCAGAGACTAATTGAATTCAAATATCTGCTTGTGCGGGATTTTGACCCAGCTTTTCAATCACTTTTGTGTATGAGGTTTGTTTGGTGAGACTGCTGCTTGGTGTCTGTTGATTTTTCATTTTGTTGGTCAACTACTTGGAACTGCTTTTGCACAACCTTCTGTCACTCCACTGTTCAGTCAGACCTTCCTACTTCTACTGTGATGAATTCTCACAGCTGGATTATGTATTGATATGAATAAAGAGCAACACATTTGCTTGCTAACTTGGGCACTTCAGAAAATACCACCTACCTTCTAGTTAGTGTTCAGTATTTACCTCCCTGACCAAAGGGCTTTGATGAGAACCTGCAGTCAAAGTAGATGTTTTCCAGTGATGTACTCCAAATAACAAGTGTTTTTATTGTTGATTAAAGGTCCTAATCCAATGGAGATTTTGTCAAATTCAGTGAATATCTCCTCATGGTCTGCTAGCTGTCTGTTCTGTGTGTGCATAGTGAGAAAAATGTAAAAAATCTGGTGCTCATCCACAGCCCAGACTCTGTAAATAGGAAACAAAGTGGACCGATCCACACAACACTATCCCAGCGTGTCCTGTACATTCAAGCGGGGAAGGGGGGGCAGCAAGAGGGACGGTTAATCTGGCACATGATAACTAAATATGCTCACTAGCTAAATATCAACAATCCCTCTCCAGAGTCACAGGCTCCACATTTAATTTATTGTTTAGTCAAAGAAATGACGAAAAATAATGAAACGCATGAATCACAGTTTCCCAGAGTCCTTGTTGACATCTTGAGATTGCTTGTTTTGTTCAACCAACAGTCCAAAAAACCCCAAATATCCAGTTTGCTATTAATCCAAATCTAAAAAAAGGCAGCAAATATTCACATTTAAGGATGACGGAACAAAAATGTTTTTTTTTCTATTTTTGCTTCAAAAGTAATTCAAATGTTTCCCTGAGCTGCTTCTTCGTCTCAGCCATTGATTGCCCTGCTGCAAAAAAAAACTTCACTGTGAACTTTGTCGTCCCATGATTGTGCTGCAGGAAAGGAACACATTACCATAAATTGTTTATGCATGGAAATGGCATAAAATATTGTCTTTGGGTGACATCTCCCTAAATTTTTTTTATGGCCTTGTAAAGATTCTGTGCATGTTCTGCTGTTCATTATAAGATTCTCCTTTCACTTTTTTACCCCCCAAAAAAACCTCATACCATGCACTTTAAGGATGGTGTTAGTACTAAAAGTAAGCTAGTTTTTTCTCACTTGTCCAATGTGCTCAGGGATTTGCGTTGTGTTTTGCAGCACGCAATTAATTCTAGTACTCTGATTAGATTGATTGTTCCCTTATTGGAGTAAAAAGAGGACATAACTTGCTGGAAATTGTGTAAGGGTTCAAACCTTATGAGGTTTAAGATGACTCTTCTTTGTTGTGCTCCTTGTTTAACGGTCCTAAAATACTTGGATAGTGCTTAGGTCATAGAAAACGTCTGTGATGGCACTCTTCATCCTGCTTGCTAAGCTGCAGGCCTTTGACACGAATCCCCTCCCTTGTGTAAAATGCATCATGTCCAATTGTTTTACCTTGTAAGATGCTAGGGTTTGCTCTTTAAACTGGACTCTTGAGTTGCCAGAAAATAAGTAACATATGAGCATTGGTTCACAATAGATCTCAATAGATGCATGAATGTTTGGAAATCTCTATTATTCTGTGTGGGACAAGAAGCACGTTTAAACCAGTAATATAAAGTGAAGTTTCAGCTAGAACTCCTTCCTCTTTCCTGGGAAAATCTTGACCATTATTGAAAACAAAGATGTCTGAGTACATTTTTTTCCATACATGAAAATGATCTTTGAGTTTCTGAGAACACCTGAAAAAGTCTGAAAGTCTAATGAGGCAAGTACATGTATATATCACGTTGATGAATAACCAGCGTAGAAACTGATGGGCCTCAAAGCTGTCAGCAGTTCTGATGCTCACAGCGAGTCAGAAATCTTATCCTGTATTCGTTTACCGCAGTGCCTCCAAGCAGTCTATAAATCTGACTCCTATCTGCTGATATGGTACCTTCAAAGCTTAAAGTTTCTTCTAAAAGGCCTTTGATTACAAGGTACCCAATGAATTTTGGCTCCTGCGCTCTGAATCTTTCCCCCTGCACTTTTAGCTCTCAGTCTTGATAAATGAGTTATGTGGCTCGAAGACTATGGCCCGAAGCCCAGCAGGAGAATACTTAACCCTCCATAAGTCTCACGCGATGACACATGCCATGAGATCTTTCCTGTGTTGCTCAAGTCTTGGAGGCCTGTGTGTTTTTACATGGTGACAAATTGTGAACCAAAGTGCTTCCTGATCCCTTGGATCTTCAGACGAGTGGCTCGAGTTGAAACACAAGTGTAATAGATCCGAGAGAACAACTGTGAAGTTTTATTAGTTGGAAAAGCTGCTTAGGTGAATGGAGCGCATTGTTAGGAATTAAACTAATATCACCCAGAAGTTCACTTTTGTACCATTTGGTTGAATTTTTAAATGAAGGTAAAATAGCCTGTAATCTTTCATTAACTTGATTAGAACAAGAAAAATATTATAGATGCTGATTGGAATGTTGTGAACACCGTTAAAATTCATCCTTGGACAGAGTTGCACTGTTCAATAGTAATAACTTCACCTGCCTTACACAGTGAGTTACTATAAATGATTTTGCCTCTGGTGCATTTGCTTTTGACATCCCTCCTGGATAGAGGGTTCTCTATTCTAATGTAGGCCATTTTGAGACAGAAGTACAAGTTTTCCATGTGTAAAAATGGATTGCCACAAAAGTGGAGGATGATGACTCAGTGGCAGAAGGCTTCGAAGCCTGATATAAGCTTGATATAAGTTCTAATCAGTTGGATTGCTTAATTTTAGTTAAAATTTCTCACTTAATAAGGAATTGTTTCTGATCTGTCGTTACTGTTTCTGATCTTCTGCGAGAACATACTTTGAATATTTGTAGATTTTTGGTGTTGGTCAGACAAACAGCATTTGATGACTTGTCTTAGGATGTGACAAATGTAAACATGCACATAGTATAACAATAAAATGACCAGTTTCAGTCATTTTTTAGTATTTTTTTGGTCTCAGTTTCTTAAAGTAGAGAAGTTGCTGTCTTTCTTCTTCATATGTCAGAGTGAATGTGATTTAGTTTTCTGCTGGTGCTCGAACTTTTTCACTGATACATTTTATACACTAATTGATTAATTGAGAAAACAAGCAGCAGATCAATCGGTACTCATGGGTGCGTGATTGCATGCATGAAACAGTTTTGGAAAACTGTCTATTTATATGCAAGGCGAGACACAAATCAGTGCTATGAGCAGAAGTTCTGCAAGAACTGATTCAGGTTCCTGCAGAACTTGGGCACCTTTTTTAAGGAA